CGTTTTAGGAAATTTGTTGGCCACTGGGGTTCAGCGAATCGTTGCCGTTGTGAAGTTGGGCACACACGGTCGTTAAGCGAGTCCTTGGTTTGTGGGAAGGGCACAGAAGGAGTGGGCCAAGGCTCCTGACGTTTGATGCTGCCCTGGTCAGAAGTGTGAGGACCGTTTGAAGAGTCGCTAAATGGAATGGGGTAGTGAATCGAGGACAGCCAGGATAAAAGGAGGAGGAAGGGGGTTATTTTCATCGGGGTTTACTACAAGCCAGGATGTTATTCATGGGTCTTGTGATGTCAAACTCCTGGCTGAGGGCTGGAGATATTTCATTCGTCCGTTAGGTAAATCACGATTGTTCTGCCTTTCCTTTTCTTCTCCCTCATTCTTCCTTCCTTCTTCCCTTCCTTTTCTTCATTTCTTCCCTCCTTTCTCTCTCCTTCCTTCCTTCCCCCTCTCCTCTCTCTCCTTCCTTCCCCCACCCTTCTTCCCTCCTTCCCTCCTCTCTTCTTCCTTCATTTCTTCCCTCTCTCCTTCATTCCTTCGCCCACCCCATCCCTTCCTTCATTTTTTCTTTCCTTCCTTTTGTCCCTCCTTCCCTCTTCTCTTCCTCCTTCCTTCCCACTATCTTTCTCCTTCCTTCCTTTCTTCCTTAATTCCCTCCCTGCCTTCTTTCCCTCCCTCCCTCCCACTTTCCTTCCTTCTCTGCCTCCCTTTCTTCTTCCCTTCCCTTCCTTCATTTCTTCCTTCCCCCCTCCCTCCCTCCCCTCTCCTTCCCTCCTTCATTTTTTCCTGCCCTCCTTTCTCTCTCTTCCCTTCTTCCCTTCTCTCTTCCTCCTTTCTTCCTCTCTCCTTCCTTCCTTCCCCCACCCTTCTTCCCTTCCTTCTTTCTCTCCCTCCCTTCATTTCTTCCTCTCTCCTTCCTTCCTTCGCCCACCCCATCCTTTCCTTCATTTTTTCTTTCCTTCCTTTCGTCCCTCCCTCCCTCTTCTCTTCCTCCTTTATTCCCACCTTCTTTCTCCTTCCTTCCCTTCTTCCTTAATTCCCTCCCTGCTTTCTCTCCCTCCCTCCCACTTTCCTTCCTTCTCTGCCTCCCTTCCTTCTTCCCTTCCCTTCCTTCATTTCTTCCTTCCTCACTCCCTCACTCCTCTCTCCTTCCCTCCTTCATTTTTTCCTGCCCTCCTTTCTCTCTCTTCCCTTCCTCCTTTCCTTCTTTCTTCCTCCTTTCTTCCTCTCTCCTTCCTTCCTTCCTTCCTTCTTCCCTTCCTTCCTTCTCTCCCTCTCACCCTTCATTTCTTCCCTCCTTCCCCTCTCTCTCCTTTCCTTTCTTCCTTCCCTCCTCCCCTCCCCTCCCTCCTCTCCATATACTTTCCTTTCTTCCCCCCTTCCCTCCTCCCTTCTCTCCATACTCTTTCCTTTCCTCCCTCCCTCTCTGCAGAAAGAAGAGAAGGAGAAGGAGAAGGATGAGAAAAAAGAAGAGAAGAGTGCTAAGAAGGCATCGGAGGATGAAGACAAAGGTACAAAGTAGTTGAGAGGCCTTTTTGGGGGAAGGTCAAAAAAGTCAAGATGGCAGTCGCGACTGATGCGCCTCTGTCCCTTTTTAATGTGTATTAAAATTGAACTCCACCCATCTTAAAAGAGGCCTGGGTTGAAAAACATTCTTCTATGGGTGTTTTTTTCAAGCTCGGCCCCTTTAAGATGGGTGGACTTCAACTCCCAGAATTCCCATGCCAGCATAGAATTCTGGGAGCTGAAGTCCGCCATCTTAAGTGGCTGAGGTTGCTATCTCCTATGCTGGCTGGGGAATTCTGGGAGTTGAAGTCCACCCATCTTAAACTTGCTGAAGTTGCTACCTCCCATGCTGGCTGGGGAATTCTGGGAATTGAAGTCCGCCATCTTGAAAGTGACTAAAGTTGCTACCTCCCATGCTGGCTGGGGAATTCTGGGAGTTGACCTCCACCATCTTAAGTGGCCAAGGTCGCTACTTACCATGCTGGCTGGGGAATTCTGGGAGTTGAAGTCCACCATCTTAAGTGACCGAAGTTGCTACCTCCCATGCTGACTAAGGAATTCTGGGAGTTGAAGTCCACCATCTTAAATGGCTGAGGTCACTATCTCCCATGCTGGCTGGGGAATTCTGGGAGTTGAAGTCCACCATCTTAAATGGCTGAGGTCACTATCTCCCATGCTGGCTGGGGAATTCTGGGGGTTGAAGTCCACCATCTTAAATGGCTGAGGTCACTATCTCCCATGCTGGCTGGGAGATAGTGACCTCAGCCATTTAAGATG